ACACACGCCTGTTTTGTGACAAATCCCAGCAATTTACAGTACTAGGGAGTGTGCAATGCCCACTGAAAACACAGCATACCTCTCCCCACCCCTTAGCTGATGTGACTCTTCTCAAAGCCAGGTTAATAGAGCCGCCTCCGTTTCCATTGTGGGTTGACAAGGACCCAGACAGAATGGCTGTGTCTTTTGTAGTGAGAGGAGCCTGCAGTAGAATACATAAAACTGTGAGTCCTGTTATTAGCATCAAGTCAAACATCTTTCCCAAAAGCCATCACAGACTCATTGGCATCTCTTAATCCAATATATAGAAGAGCAAGAATCCTGGGGCAACCAGTTACCTCTATAGATTGTGATATGTGCATTTTGTTGATTTCCACATGTGGGACTCCACCTCCAACCATATCTTCATAGTCCTCTTCATACCGGTCAAAAAGGTCTGTGGCGTCAATACCCACACTAATCGTTCCCTGTGAAATTATCACGAATCGATACAGTGTTTATTGAAAATTCATAAAAAATGCACACCATTCCTGGGTTTTATTCACTTCAATGCGAGGTTTCTTATCTTCCCTCAAACATACCTTTGGGTTGGTCCTTTGCTGAAGTCTTCTCTCCTCTCGCTCTTTCTGAAGACGCTCATACTCTTCTCGAATCTCTGCAGGGGTTCTTTTCCTTTCCACCACCTGCAGGCAGAAGATATGTTATTTGAATGTAAACCGAGCAGAACGGACTGGTTGCAGATACAGGTTTACACTTGGAAACATAAATAAATAAAAATAAATATATAAATCACTCTCCCATATATTCTTCCTCTGTAAATATTTGTTCTTTCTGCATCATACTTTGTACAGTCCAGCATTATTAGATGAAGGCAAAGGTAGAACAGTTTCACACAAAGGCACCAACGCTACATTTTTTAAGGATGTTATTTTTTAATGCGTGCCTCTTGATGTTTCCATCAGCTTTCTCAAGATGTCGATATCCAGCTAAGAGATATTTGAACACTAACAAAGACAGGAGGCTTTTTCTTTTTGAATTTCTGAATATTGTTTTGCCAACTTGCAATGAACTTGGTCAGAAGTTACAAGGTACTTTTGACTGCTCCCTTATTTCCCATGGGGTTACCACTGCAGACGGATCCACATATTTGATTTGGAACAGATAAGACTGGCACTGGAATTACACTAGCTTGTGAACCCCTGAAGACTGAGTTTGTGTTTTGGACCATGCATCTTTTCTATGAAAGACACAGACAAACCACAACACCACACAGTTCTGAAAATTTAATTACAAAATTTACTCTACGCTTGGTTTTGACTAGCAATGCATGTCATATTTATCATGAATTCCATATACAGTATTTTAAGAATGAATAAGTTGACTCTTGTAATCGGTATTGTCGAAATTCAGAACGCTACAGAGCTGGTATTGAAGTTTTTCGCACGTGCAAAGGAAGTTATAGGTGTGTCAGTGTATATTACTTAATAGCAAACAATAGTTCAACACAACGACCATTCTTTCTAATTATGGATGTGATGTATGCTTCAGTGGGAAATCAACCGTGTAGGTACATTGTAACCGCAAACCCCTCTGAAACCCTACGATGTAAAGACAATCATAACCTGACATGCACCTCCCTCCCCGTAATTATATGCCACGTCAACACAGCCCATAACTAGTGATTATCATTGATTCTTTCTATTCATTTCTAGCTACTTTTTCACTGCAATTTATTTATTTATAAGTGAGAGGATAACAATCATTGCCTCAATATAAGGAATAATAATCACAGTATCAGATTATTAGGAATCTCAAATGTCAGCAATTTCCTGGAATGAGACTGTAGAAACTATTTTAACTGATTGTACAAAACTTGAGGGATAAATATGTTTGAAGACACCAGACATTGTGGACCCAAGGGAGAAAAAAGTCCCAGCATTTTATTTGTTTCTATCATTGCTGGCACTGGATGTAAAATATGACCACAAGGCACTCAATCAATCAATGGATCACACAGAACAATAAATGCTGGCAGCGACCTCAGCCACTCAACATAGGATATGTCATAGGCACTGAAGACGTCTAAACAAGTCACAAGTCACTGAGAGACTCACCTCCCATCCTTCAACATCAAGTCCTCGCTTGCCATAGATATCATAGATGGCACGTGCCTGAGGGTCACTGAGCACTAGAAAGAGATTCAAAATGTAAACCATCAGTATGCTTTCTTTACGTCAAAACATACTCAAGAGCATCAGCAGTTCAACACAGGGTTGAGAAAGAAGAAATCAAAAGGAAATGGGATCAATGCTCTTCTTACCTTCATAAGCTTCGTGTACAAGGTTAAAAAGGTGCTCTGCTTGTCTCTTTAGTTCAGGATCCCGGTGTTTGTCTGGGTGATAGAGCATGCATAATCGTCTGTATGCCGCCTTCAGCTCCTCCTGCGTAGCCTGAAGGGGAAAAAAGAGAGCACAGCATAGTTACAACATAACATAACGCGGATTAAAAATTGTTTTTAAAAATGTAATCTAGCCTACCATTACCCCAGCATATTTTGTTTTAAAATCACTCGGAGTGATATTTTTATAACCGATTCGGAATCAGTTTTTACCTTCCTTGCTTAAGAATGTGGCAAATTATAATAACATTTATAGTTCAGTATACTTATACACTTTAGCCTGCCAGCAAATGGTTTTCTTTTGCATAACGAATTTTCAGATAAACACGATGCTTTTTGCTGCTACAAGTAAATAATCACGACCAAAAACGTCCGATTCTTGCAGACTTAAAAAGTCCATTTATACTATAATCAGCACTGCGTGTTGCATGCTGCAGCTCCGAAGTTACATTAGCTACTTAGCACTCTCCAAAGTACATGACATACATGTGAAATTGAAAATAAAACAATTGCCAGTCCGGAAACATCAGCTCTTAGATTGCCACATAAACACACCGATTCTCTGTCCTGCACAAGCAACATATTACGCTGCCAGAGCTGTCACCCCACGACCCTTCTGTGCTCACTGAAACAACCGAAGAGTTAACCAATGTCGAGGGTCACTAGTTAGCTGCCTAGCTAATGTTTCATCTATGTTTGGGAGCAACGCTTTAATAACAGCAGTATAAAGTTTATAGGACGACCGATGCTGAATCCGCACACGCAATCATTCAGATTCCAGCTGCATTTTGTACCTCTCTTCTGACATTTAGCAGGGAATAATAATCATCACTGGCGAGCTCATCATCGTCTAAGGGAGACGCCATGTTCACACCCGGTCATCTCTTCTTTGTGCCACTTATGTCGCTCCAAGTCTCCTCTTCGCGCTCTGTCGCCCCCTGGTGTTGGGATGAGCGACAACTCCGCGGCCGTTTCCTAAATGCTGACACATTGCGACTCGGTCCTGTGCATATTTAAGTTTGAATTCATTAATTGCAGTTGATGTGCTTATGAGGAATAATGCGTAGGAAAGAATTATGAAGTAACCCGGCTTTTTTTTGCTTTTGTTTTGTTGTTGTTGTTTTTGCACTGCAGCCATCCGCGAATTTACTTTAAAGTTACTTTAGTGTTCATTCAACCTGATTTATTTTATTTCAGTTTTGCAAATGATACTATATAATGGCTAAATAACGTGCAGGGGAGAAATATTATGTATATACACCGAATGTTCTTTTTTATGTGAGAGAAAATGAATATTGCTCATTTTAGAGGGAACGTGTATGCCTTAATTCTAAAGGGATATTGCCTGCATCACATTCAGCTATAGAAGCAATTAAGACAGGGGGTGAAGAAAATCACATTAGGTCTTTCATTAATTACTCTCCTCGCAATAACAACAAGCCGTTGACTGCACGAGGCGCAGCAGTAGGCAGCAGAGGAGCTGTTCTTTCAGCACCACCTCAAACTATACACTGCATTTCAACGCTGACGGCCAGCAGCCTGTTAAAGGCTGTCCTTGAGTGGAGTGCCGCAGTTGAAGCGATTAAGCACAGTGATCTGTAATTAGATTGCCTCTAGCCATTTAACGTATATTGTCAAGCATGTGTGATTGCGCCATAATGATAGCAGTTACAAGAAAATCCTCCGTGGCATATAGCGGGTAGAGTTAAAAGTTAACTCTGGACCAGAAACAGCTGTTTACATGGACTCCACCGCCGGCAGCCTCCCTCATGGTGAAACAAGAGGTGGTATCCACATCTCCTGGAAATCAATGCGGTTTTCAGTATTGTGGTGAAATCATTTAGACAGGCCTACAGGGGGAAAAGTAGTCTGCAGGCTCCCCAATGTAAACGGACACATGATTGACAGTCTGCGCAGAGAACTGTCCAATATGTCTCAAATGCTTTATCATTTGTTTCTTTACAGGGCTGCATATTTGTCTTCAACTCAAACTCGGTGTCTTAAATACGGGGAAATGAAACTTAAAACAAAGTGCTCCATGATGGATTATTATGGAAAATTCTCTCTCTTTTTTCTTTTCTGAGGCTGAACCTCCAGTTATTAGTTGTACGAACCAGCTCATGTCTCCAGTATCAGATTAGATAAGCAGACTTTGATTAAAAAACAATTAATGAAGAACATTAGGCACTTAATTTCTTCTAATAACTGGTTTTGCGTCACTCGGAAATGACAGTGTAAAACAACTTGGGTGGGGTGGCTCAAAAGGGAAGCATTTAATATTCACAGTCTAATCATTTTCTAAAAAAATAAATAAATAAAGAAGGAAAATTATGAAAGCAACCTGCCAGACATTAAAGTTTTCTTTCCCTTTTTATTATACCGTCTTTTAAAGACCAGCATTGCCTCTGAGCTGTAAAAATATATTAAATAAAAATATTTATATTTTAAAAAACCCCTAACAAAATACGGCTGGTGGTGCCAAGGTGAGGTGAGATGTGTTGTTTTTCATCCCGGAGCCTCTCTGTCAGTCACCGCCTCACAGCCAATGATAAGTTCGCCTCGGTCGGACCGACTCGCCGCTTGCTCCTCCGGTCCCTCCTCGTGCTGTCCTCGCCGTGCACGCGCGTGGTACCCACGGTCGTGAGGAGGAGGAGGATGTTGCGCGTGAAGGGGAAATGGCTGCCGAAAACAAGCCGGAAGGTAAGAGAAATATAATGGGATTAATTTACTAGTATGACCGCGGTGTGGGTTTTGGAAGAGCTGCAACTCCGTGCGGAAATGACACACGCGTGAAGCCGAGCGGAGAAATTTTCGGTAGAAAGCGGCTCCGCTATTTTCCTCCGAATAGGCTGCTAAAACGTGGAGACATCACCTAGCCAGCTAATATTAGCTTGCATTCTAGCCAAGCTACTATTCCCATCGTAGCCCACATTTAAAAGCACGCCACTGGGACGAATAGCGTGGCAAAAGTGCCGTGTTTACCGTTTATTGTGCTCGGGTTCCTTGTCAAATGACGAGCAATTCAAGTTGTTAACAACAAGGCTAAGTTAATGACAACATGTCATTGGCATCGACCAACTTCTTCCCTTATTACCCAGCTTTAAAAGCGGCTTGGTTGTGTTAGTTTATATGTCAATACGGCTCTGTTTTCAAGCCGCTTTTTGCAGCTTGTTTTGACGGCATTACAATAGGCTAATTATTAAGACATGTCTGATTTAAAATGTAGCCTGTAAGTCTTGTTTTTTCTCTCTCTTTCTTTCTTTCTCCTCTTGGAGAGGGTCGTTTAGTCCCCCACCTCTTGAAGCGCGAGAAATTTCTTCGGCTTTCAGCGGATAGTGTTTATGAGCCAGAAGTGATGTATTGTTTTTAAACGAGCGAATATTAGCCTCCGTTTTCCAAATGCCAATTAATACTACTTGGCCTATATTTGGTCCGAAACACGGGCATCAAAGCGTTGTGATGCCTACTCCGCTCGCAATGCCCTATCGCACTTGAAATGCCATCACACCGGAGGAAGCAGGGAGGATGGAGAGTAGGATTTCCAGCAGCCTGCCTGCCCATTACACTACTTTACAGATAGGACAAAACGAAGACTTCCCTCCCCTCCTCAGCTGACTTCACACGGCTTGCTAACTTGAAATGAAATGCACTAGACTTAATTATTTTCCTTCTTAGTGGAATATTTTATTGCAACCCATATGCATAAGAGATTTGATCTCATTCAGACAGGCCCATGGATTTTTTGGGTGAGTAATTAAACAACGCCTGCATGAAAATAAAGATGTGATCCATGATTTTTAAACGGACCGGTTTTCCTGGCGCCTTTTCACTGATAATGGTATTTGAAGCTGTCTGGAGCCAGTTACTTATTTACAATCTCAGTGTTTTTGATACAGATGAAATGTGTATATGTTAAAATATATATTTTCAACAATGATCTTAGAATTAAACGCCTGATTATTTACATGTTATAGTTTGTGTGTATTCCTACGTTTTTGCTATTGTTACTTTAATTGATTTATTGATAATTATCTAACTTTTTTATTGAACAGAATACAGTGGTAGATAATTCAAATCATATGTTCTTGTTTTTTTTATATATATTTGCTGATTTATATAGAGCTTTAGGGTGCAGAAAAGAGTCTTTCTAGGTTTTTCTTTTTCTTTTCTTTTTTAAACTGGCTGCTTGAATTGAGAAAGACAACATTTTTTAATTTAAAAAAATGGTCCAGCTGTTTCTGAGCTGTTCTTTATGTTTTTTTTTGCAGGGTTTAAAATTAAACAGGCATCTGTCAGTCTTTGGTGTCAGTAACCTCAAACACAAATTCTTTTTGATGTAGAATTATTGTAATGTTTCAAATTGTCTCGGTCCATGTGAGGAGAGATGATAAAACGCTGGGATTTTAGTTGTTTGGATGTCAGTGTGCCAACCACTAAAGCGAGTCCCACCAGGGGGTGGTATTGAGCTACAGAAGCGCACTTACATGAGGGATCAGTCTGCGGCTATGACAAAAAAAAAATGAAGACATCTGGTTTTGTGATAGTAATGACTTCACTATGGTGTATAGTCCTAATGAATTCATCTACATAGCTGAACTTAACAAATAGACTGTAGCTGATAATCGCGATGTCTCCCCCAACACGAGGAGCTCTCACTGCAAACCTTGACTTGAAAGTCCCATTGCTGAGCCGGTCAAGTTATTTTCAGAGTTCCTATGAGGCCGGTCAGTGGAAAAAGGAGGAGGAAGGGGGGCATAAAGAGACAGAGAGTGCTTCATACCTTCATGTAAACGCTATATACTCTCATGCATACCTGGCCGTTAAAGCTTTTACATAAAGCTGTCGTGAATCATTCCACTTGAACCAAGTCTTTTTGGCTTTTCAGCAGGAATGTAAAACGTTTAAACGAACACAGCTTTTACAGTTTTTACATGACGTGTTCCTGAATGTCTGGCTGCCACTAAGAGAGCTCAACAGTGTTTCCTTAACCTTTTGTCCTTGTGGTATGCGGGCAGCGTCGATCGCTCTTAGCTGTTTGGCAGGTCTTATGATGGCCCATAACAACTGAGGGTTACATCTTGTGTTAAACCCAGGGGCCATGACCCAGCCTCACGTCGTGGTGTAATGTTTACATCCTGGGGTATTTCTCTCCAGCCTAACTGATCGTCTATCCCCTTGGGGTTATTTTTTTCCCCCCTTCACACTCATAAAAAGCTCTGTGTGTCCGTTACTTTAAGTACAAAGCCTGGAGGGCACTGAAAGGACATGCTTGATATGTCTCACACTGACACTGGTCTGGATAAAACTACAGCCAGTGGTCTTATGAATCCGCTAGAGCAGAAATTCCATATAGATATTTCAGTACTACAGCCAAATGTGAGAAATAAAACAAGGAGGTTTGTAAAGAAAAGAAAACACCATGTGAAAATGCAATCATGATATTAACCTCTGAATTGAAATCCTATGGTATTTTTCCCAGCCTACCAGAATCATGTAGCACACTTTGATTAATATAAAATCAGGTAATTGCAAATCCAATGATGAAGGGAGTGTTTACTCACACTTAAAGTTCATACAGGTGTGTTAACCTGCATAAATCCAAGACTAATCCAAACAGTCAATAAAGGTTGCTTTTTGAAATGTAGTAAATAAGGCCTGCGGTTTCTGCCCGTGTAGGAAGGGCTTTTTCTCATTTTTTTAACGCAGGCACAGTTTGAAAAGTTTCACGATCTTATCATTTCACTCAAAGTTCAGGGTGAAGCAGCAGGAAAACATCAAGTAAACACGCAGTCAGCCATTAACTTACAAAAGTGCTTGTGCAGCAATGGCATAAATATTTCTCTGCTGTTTTGTAAAGAAGGATGAATTTAACCTCCTCGTGATGCCAGACGATTTGCTCTGCCAGTTTTGTGTGGAATCAGGATATAGCTACATTTTTTCCCAGGCTTTTAATTGAATCAGTGAAGTATGGATGGGTGGGACCCATGTCCAGTCTGTGGTTGCTGAGACGTCTGCATGTAATAGACCTTTACCGACAGCTTTGCAGGGTCTCCACTGGTTGATTGTATTGATTCTTCCAGCTCACCAATGACACAATAAGAAGTGTTACTGACCCATATCAAAACAGGCCAGAGCTATACTAACCTATATCAAGGGGCATTTTCCTTGTAGAGAGAAAAAGATTGAGTTGATGGAAAGCTTCACTGTTTTAAACAACCAATAGACAAATTCAATATGTATTATTACCCTGATTATTGTTGGTGTTATTATTATTCCCATCACATTTTTCCCAACAGCTCTTGTGTGTTTTAAATGCATTTCAAAAAACTGTGTGTAGTTTCTGTTGATGTTGCTTGCATGGGGGAGTTTGCTTAGGTATCACAGGCTGGGAGAATGCTTCTTTTCCTCGATTTTCTCTACTTTTCTCTTTGCCTCCTGAAGGACTGAAGAAAGTTCGTAATCCGGATCGAATGTACAGATCAGCAGTGTGTTATGCTGGCCATGGTCCACCTAAGAATATCAGTGATGACACAGAGACGAACAGTAAGAGTCAGTTATTAATACTGCATTGCTGCTGCAAGAGGCCACTAGCTGGCCAATCTATTATTCATCCATCAATTCATTTATTTACTTCTTGATTTCATCCGTCCCCATGCCCCCTCCCTCTTTTATTCTTCTCCAACACAACACCACCTCCGGCTGTTCTGTTGATTGAAGTGTCTGCTTTACAGGATCACGCTGTCAATAGTTGAAGTGTTGTCGTTAACTAAGAGTGATTTCAGGTTGAGGCCAGGGGATCAGGACCTGAGCAGACCCTCAGAGAGAAAGCTTACGCTTTGATCCATCAATTATGACCCAGGACTTGCTTTTTCTTTGCTTTTCTTAAACCTGTATTTGATGGAGGGGTATCAAGTCAGGTTAACGGTATGTTGTAAAAATGCTGGAAAAATAAATAGTGTATGACCAAATATAAAAGAAATAGCATCCTATATATTTTTCCTTTATGGGTTAATATTCGTCTCTGTCTCCCTCTCATTTCATTTGCACTCGATCAGAACTCTAGATCAGACATCATAGAGGAGGTTTTTATGACTTGTAAAAGCCAGCTTCTGTAGGGATTGGTTCAGTGCGCTTACAAGTCTGTGCACAAGCGCTATTTTCTGTCATGACCAAAACAAGTCAATCAGAAATATAGGCCAAAGTGTTGACTTTATTTGTGGTGATTTTCCCTTCATTCCTCTTTAGAGAACATTGCCTGAATTTTAGCCTCTGTCTTTTTCCATTGAAAAAAACGGTCCCCTCTAAAGCAGATTGTTCCTCTGCAAAAAGGAGTGCCTTCATTGTTAATGAATACACCAGTCTCTTCACTGCTGGGAGACTCTGTTGATCTAGGCTAGAGACTGGGTAATTAAGTGTGCTCATGTATTGTCATTTCTAAATAGTAAGTCTGAAATCACCCCCAACCCCTTGTTAGACTCTTCACTCGATATGTGTCACTGGAAGAGCTTTGCTGCACCAGATCTTTTTGGTATTTTTAACAGAGAATGTTTTGAAAGATTTAATGCCAAGGGAGTGCCAGTGCAGATCTATGAAACAGTGATGCAGACTGTAACGGGAACATTTTTGATAGACTTTTGCGTTACCCTTTCATGTGTGACAACTGTGACTGACAATACGTTTTGCCAGTGTTGCTGTTTTCCCTCATGTTATTGCATGGTATTACAGTATCCTGTTCCCATGTCAGACACCCCGTTTAATGTGTTCAGCCTGGAGGGTTTTCTGCCTACCAGGACACTCTGTAGCAGAATACAAGAGCTCAAACAAGCAGGTAAACCATTGATCTGAGTAATCGTCTGAGTAATTGTGGGAGTAGTTATGATACAGAAAGAAGGGTTTTGTTTGTGTGCATGTGTAAGCTAGAGGGAAAAAACAGAAAGAGAACAAGAGCAAGAGAGAGGGAGTGAGAGTGAGAGAGAGACCTCACCTCTGCTCTCCTTGAGATGGGATTTTTATGGATGGGTGAGCGTGGTGAGGGCTGAGAACACATAAAGAGTCATTTTCAGTTTGTTGCAGGCAGTTAACCATGTGTACATGTTTGTTGAACTTTCAGTAATAGGCGCAGGCTTTTTTTTGAGCTGTTTGACTTTTTGACAGTCTTTGCTTATTATGCTACATTATAGTATACTATTAACTACACAGAGACAAAGTGTGTCCAGCATATGGCCATTGAGGTAATGTAAACAGTGTAAATGTAAATAGTGAAAGCTGCAATACTGCACATGTTGCATCTTGTAGCACAACGGCATAAGAAAGTGTTCCCAGTGAGATTCAGTCCTATTCAGATCTCTCGCTGGCATGCAGATGCTTTCTCCCTTTCCCAGCGGGGGAAAAAAACCTTTAGCATTTTTTACAACAGCTGTTGTGTGCATTCCCGGTCAAACAACCATCCTTGATTCTTTCACTAGACGCCGTATAATGGTCTCTTTGCTTTAGGTTTATAGTACCATAGCTGTGCTATAGCGAAGTTCACCAGTTCACTTTTTTTGCTCGTGGGCAGTTTGTAATTTCACTAGATGTAAGAGTGTTATCGAACAGGCTATGGGCCAAATGATAAAGATAATTGGTTTCCCCGTCCTACACTAAAACATAGCTATTTTAAGTCTGCGTCTACATACTCCTCTCTGTGTTCTCATCAAGAGCCATCAGGCTGTGGGGAGACCAGCCCCTGGACGATAGGCATTATTGTCGTTATTGCCAGGGAAATTTGACACTACTTAAATTGTCCTGTGTTGTTTTAAAGCTCAGCTCAGGATCTCCCACAAGTGCTTGGCTATAGACTCTCGTCTAATCAAGTGTTTGGTTCACTACTGGACAAGAGCAACCACTTTTTCTTTTAGGTACAGCCTAATCAGTGATATAGATTAAAGGTCTGCATGAATTAAATAGTGTTTTTGTAATATTTGGAAACATTTCAAGCCCGTTAAGATTAGAGATTTCAAATCAGTTTAATTAGTGAATTTAGATTTTCTGTGTGGAAATAAAAGAGAAACTTGAGAAAATCGTTTTTGTTGTTGTGTGATATATTTAAAGCTGTATCAAGTTAATTAAAGATCAGCAGTCGATTAATTTTTTTTAGAAACAAGCCATTTTAGCTGTCAGAATTGTTAAATGAATGTGGAAATCACAGCGTTTGACCAAAAATAGTTTGTGCAAGGATTTGGGGGATTAGATGGATCACAGAAATGTGTACACATCTTTAGGCTACTGAAACCAATATCCCGTTACAGTAAATGCATTGGCCATAGACTCATGCAGGTTAAGCCCACTTTTTCTCTTTCCTCTTCATTTTTTTCACATCTCACAACTAGATTAATTGGTTTTAGTTTCCAGCGTGTTATCAGTTGACCATTTCCCCCTGGCTGCATAAGTTCATCTCTGCTTCACATTTGAACACACTTTGTCTGGATTTTTATCAAGCTAACATGTTCCTCGTTTCTACCGATGGTGTGAGCTGTAGGTCCACTCTGTCACCTTCTGTATGTCTGGTCATTATATCTACTGCATGAGACATACAACACATTATACATTTCTCTACGCATTTCATGAATTTTCTTACTGTCTGTGCATGCATTAACTGCATGTGTGCTCTAGTATTTGTCTGCATGCTACAGATAGAAAGCATATATATCTTATACTTTTCTTCCTTCCTGTCTATTTTAGCAGGCCTATGCTTTTATGTTTTCATAGCCCATGGATATCTTACCTACAAACTGAAACATAATGCAGTTAATTTTTTATATTCCTTTAGAAACAGTTAGAAAAATTGGCTGCTTTAGGAAAAAAACATCACTGCTAGTTTCAAAAGATACAACAAATGAAAGCACCACACATTAAATGGTGTTCAGGAAGTCTTGAGAAATGTCCCTTTACTTAATAAAAAGTCACGATAAATGCACGTATTTCTTCAAGGATGTTTAAGTGATCAAGATGTGACCATCATTGCAATTTTCATGTGGAAGTCTGCATCAAGGCAAAACCTCTTTGCATATGTTGTTTTTTGTTTTCAGTACAGCACTACTAATTTGTTTTTTGAATACAGCGCTTTGTAGTGGATAAAAAAGCACATTTTTGCCTCTGTTTGCTTGACATTTTGTCACCTCAGTTGATGAAATGTGTCTGAACTTATCTCATTTGCCTAACCACACTAATTTCTAAGCTAAAGTCTTTTTTTCAATTTTTGGTCCAGCCCAGTGGATGGCTGTCATACAACATAATGATAACAGACACTGCCATAGACCTAATTCAGTTTCAGAGCACTTCTTACTGCACAGAGACGAGGGCCAAATATTTATCCACAGGACTGTTTGTTCTTCTCTGATTCACCTCCCATGTGTTCTAGGTATAGCTACAAAAGAACAGTTAGACTCCTCTTCACATCTATAAGCCATATTAGCCACTGAACTGTTGTGGAAAATGTTTGCATTCAAAGTTACTTTGGGTATGCACCACCAGCAGCGATTTGTTGAATGATCTATAGCCAAAACATTAGCTTGCTATTTCTCCACAATGTGGGCACAGATTAAAAAGAAAAACTGTCACTCCCAGTGCGCTCTGAGACAGAGACGGAAGAGAGAGGGTTTTGCGTTCAGGGCTCAGATATTGATTAAAGATTTGTTTTTGTCAGCCTTTCCAGTCTCATGACCCTCGCTCTCATCTCTAGGGTGGGGCTGGAGCAAGCTAGCATGACAGATACCCTTAAATTTGGCCCAAGTGTTTGCTTAGCAGCCAGGATCAGCGATAATCCAAACATCATCACAGAGAAATATATATATCTTTATACCCATTCGTCAAAGGGTGATGTAAATTATACAGCAGCATGCACAGACTGCCACTGTTCAGCTCATACATGGCCTGTGGTGGCAACATGAAAGCTGCAGACCTCTAGTCTCTATATTGAAAAGCATTCCTCTCCCCGTTTAGCCTTTTGTATGTGAGCTCACTCATCAAGACCTAGAATGTAATTGGCTCCAGTGTGCCAGCTCAGCTCAGCACATCCTCTCGTGTAACAAGCTCTGGTATCAGCCTGTCTTGCACTTTAGTGTTTTACAACCAAATAGTAGTTTTCTGTGGATCCTTCTCTTGGCTAATGTACAGGCAGTCATTAAGGCTGCTGTTTAAACTCCAAAATAAATATTAAACCTTACAGGGGTTCCATGGGAAAAGCAAAGAAGTAGAGTTGTTTATAGACTTTGATCAACTTCTGGTTAAGAAAAAAGAGCTACATTTACATTCTCAAAGCCAAATTTTAGTGGGTAAGTTCCTGTTTATCCACTGATCAAATCAGGCGATTTGATTAAGAAGAGCTTGTCTATATTCTCTAAACCTGCTAGGCCCCCTCAGGGCTGTTTTTGTATCACACACAAACTACAGGATATATACAAGATATCCATTCCACATTCCGCAATGGACAGATTTTTAATTAGTAAACAATACTTTGTAGGAACGCTCACAGTTTCTCCTTTGCATCAGTGAAAAAGCCCGGTGGAAGAAAGATATACTGTAGCTGAAATATTGTTAGTTCTGATAAATAGCAGGTGACAGAACAAAAAGAGTTTAGAGTTATTAGAGTGCTGTAAAAGGAAACCTCAGTAATGAAGAGTTCACTTTTGTGTGTTTAAGAGCCTTGTAAGAAATGTTTTTTAAAAGACCCCATTCAAGTTAGACAAGGACTCCCAGATTAGAGAAGGCCAAAACTGAGCATCTGAGGAAGTGCCATATCTAAAAAACATGGTTTATTTAACAGCAAAAAGCACAGAACGCTGTTTGAAACATGACAGTAGTTAACCTGTTCGTCAAAGAAATGCAGTCATTCAAACCCCAGAGACACTAGCCCTATATATAATCTGATGTTTTGGTACTGTAAGGTCTCTGGTGTTTTTGTACCTGGTGTTAATAATAGCCTCCATAGTAAATGCCTAGTTTCTCTCTAGTTTATATTAAAATGGAAGGAAAAAAAACATTATCGCCGGTCCACTGAATGAATGATGTTAATGTCAAATATTAAATAAAAGCAGCAGAATTTCTTTGTGTTTTCTGTCTGGCTTAATTTGGACATTATGAAGATTTAGTATTAAAGTTAATAAAGCTTAACCTATATCTTTTCTCATAGATCAGTTAGTACTACTGTTAAAGGTTTAGTTGCAAATCCTTTGCTGTCAATGAATAACTGAAATCCACGATCTGTAGACATAAACAGATACTTGGCAAATTCCCTGGAGATGCTCTGCCAGGTCTGTATTGCAGCCATACTCGTTTCTTGCTTGTTTTGGGGACATTTTGCCTTCAGTCTGGTCTTCAGCAAGTGTAACACATGCTCACTTGGATTGAGGTCAGCTGACTGAATCGGCCAGTCAGAAACATTACGCTGACTGAAAAATAGTGAAAGTCCACAGAGTGTGTCTCATTCAAATGCATTGTCCCAGGGAAACTGTTCTAAATGCACTGCATGTATGATATATTGATTTAAAATTAAATACAGAGGATTGAAAGTATACTTTTTTCAGTATAAAATTAAGATTTGTTAACACCAAAATAAAAATGGCGAAATGCTTTTAACATTCAGAATGTTTACATGTAGCACATTAGTAATCTAATCATTCTCCAGTTTGGTGGTAACCTGATTTCAGAGGCATCCTTGTAAGGTTAAGGGATTAGGAGAGATCCAGTTAACACCTTGTTAGTCTTGCAGGGTTTACATAGGTTGCTTTGACGCTTGGGGGGTTGTTAGCTGACAAATACAAGACTGGCATTTTCAAAGTAGAAAGCAGTTATGTTGCAGTTGTGTCACCCTTTTCATGTGCGCGGCATACTGAGCCGAGATGCTTTTTGCATAATTCAGTGGTCTCTGGCAAAGTTGTAGAACCAAAGGTGCTTTGCTCGAAAACACGTTGTGCAATGACCGGTGTGATTTTAAGGTTACGAAATGATTAAAACCAAGTGGGAGATTTTATTACATCTGTCAAGGTCCTCTATGCTGTTCTCATCCAAAATATTTCAGCCTGCTGGCAGGTTGAGCAGACATATCCTCTTACAGTAGATTTCTATCACAACTCTCTCGGTGAGGAAATCCTCGACATACTTGAGCTTGGTGTTGATGGTGTCATACGAGGGTGTGCCAGAGGGGAGCATTAACTCCCGAATAATCTGAGGAGAGACGGACTCTTCGTATGTACGGATGTGAGCTTTAAACAGCAAATCTTTTAGGAAGGGCGACGGTTAAGACTTTCTACTGACCTGTGAGGTATCAGAGTGTGGATTTAATGTGTTTTTTTTATATCTGTTTCTTGCTCACATTTGAAGTTGTTGCTCCGAGAACGAGTATCCACATAAAACAGCTTCTTTTCATCTTTTGTCTCTGCCTCTGATCATTCACTTGCAGCATGTTATCTAGTTTTGACAGTGAAACTACTCTGGTGGTACCTAGGAGCAGATGCTGTGTGCGATTCTTAATTGGGTGAAAAAAATCATTACAGATACCTGTGAAGCTCACATAAAACAGGGTCTACATGAGGCTACATGTAAAATAATAGGTACAGACGGATATAGCGGATACCACAGATATGCTTGCATTCCTTTGGGAGCGATGACGTTCCACCTTATGGATTATGGTATTCTTGGGATCCATCTCTATGGATCAGCTGAGTTGAATTTTCTCTTTGGATGTTTCTGGGCAGTTGCACTGCACTCTTTCAGAGATATACAGCAAGCAGGCTGCAGACACTTTTGGTATAGTCTCATAATGAAGTGCACTACTGGATTATTTGTATTGGCTTTATAGTGGTGTTTTGCTTTGGTTGAACTTTTTCTCTATTTGTCTGATATCAGCTACCCCAGGGATCCATAGTCAGCACTCATATTCAGGCTTTTTTTTCGGTCTCCCCCTTTACTTGCCCATTACGCCTAACCTACAGTTATATAAATGTGAAAGAATGCAGCTCAGTCTGTGATGTTTGCTTCTTGTTCTTCTATATTTTCAGACTATATCGCATTACGGATAAATGCTGTATTTTGCATTACATTTAGTGAATGTATTTACATTTAATTTGAACTCATAAGCACTGAATAACAGATTTATTTGCACATGCTGGGACATTACCTGGATTAAACAGCTCAACATCCAAGATTTACAGTGTAACAGACTTTAAATCCATTAGAAAAAAAGAGAGAAGAAGCTTAAAGTCTATATGAATAGAGGACAGGAATAATGCAAACTTTACTGGCAGCTACAGATACTAGACACTTCTTATTTTGCCCTTTCTTGATTGTAGACTATTCTCTCAGCCTTATACAAATCCCCATCCACACAAATGAACTGTTCCCTTTTCCCACATAGACTGTTCCGATTTTGTTCCATCTAATTGTATATTATTGTTACTGATACAAATGGATACACTGACAATTTCTCCTGTTTTTGTTTAAACTTGTTATCACTTGTAATATCCGTGCTTAGAATATTCTTATTTTTATGTAATTTACAATTTCTAACATATAGCTGTTTATATTAGATTTCTTCATGATATTGTTAATTTAATCTGTTTTGTTTTTTTCGCTCCCTAAGCAAATATAATTTGTCCACGCTTAAGTTATCTGCATATTTAAGCAAGAAAACAGCGATGGAATGAAATGAACATTTGAATGCATCCATGCAAAAGGGTCTACTGTTTCCTAATTCTTGTGAACTGATTGTGAAAAGTAAATTGAACAACATACATTATGATGTAAGCATTGGGCCTGGTAATTGTAATTATTTCCCTGAGTAATATACCACATTATTTGTGCAGCACACAGATTCCCAAATCCCCATACACTATGAAATCACTCAAGGGTGTTTATTGTGTTTAAATAATGAATAGATACAGCCTTTACAAGTTGACACTGAAAAATTTCTGGTGAGCTCCCCCGATAGAATGCATTTCACAGTAAAATAATTTAGTCGACCACAAAATAAAATGTATGCAATACTCTATCCTTAGATTAATTTCCTAATTCAGTTGGGGATAGTTGTTTTACTGTCAGCGTTTTGCTGCTGAGAGACTTGCAGACTGATAAAGAGGGATATGAGCAAGTCAATAAGGTAGGCGAGCTTGTGCTAAATATTCTTTTTTATCATGCTCTTTTTGTAGATGAACATGGACATTTGAAAATATACCTGCCCAAGAAGCTGCTTGAATGTCTACCAAAATGCACGTCGCTGCCAAAGGAGAGACACCGGTGGAACACTAATGAGGTACGGACAGCATTGCTAATCATACCTCTTTCCACTAAATCCATCTCTCTTCAAAGATAGCCGTACATAAGACACTGTTCTCTCGGGCCCTTTCCAGACATATAAATCATATGAAATCTCTCTGAAATAACAACTGCTACCTGTGATGTTCACTTTTACACCAAAATACACTGATCAATGCTGGTATACGTTACATGCTTAAATATGACATATGAAGACAGTGAAAGTGTGATTTTTAAATGTACCTATTAGGGTTTATTTCTAGCTCTTGTGCTCCCACTTCACATTACACCTGTTTCAGCATGTATCATAACTTTGCAAGAATTAGTATTTGCATTAATAACTATATTTGAAATTTAAAGTCCATCTTCATCTTATATTGACACACAGTTTCCTGTGATATTTTTTTAGATGTACTATTGCCAACAAAGATAATCCACTGGTTTCTGTTGCAGCACGTTGTGCAGTGGATTTTCTTTTTATTTAACCTCACTTTTAAACTGAAACATGTCTCCGAGCCTGTAATTTGTGTTTACTAGAGATTTGGCAGCGCTCGTCGTGCATGAAAACCCTGTTTGTTAATGTCACTTGTAAGTTTTATTCACAAAACTTCACCCAGCGAGTTCAGCAAGCACCGAACACGTAAATAGTGTTTTGCACTGGCAGAATGAAAGTGTTTCATGTTTGCATCACATTAGGTAAGGATGACATACCACATTGTACTTTTTTCCCATATAAATGTTTTGCTTTTTAAGATGTTAGAGATGGCCTTTGTTTTCCTTATCCTTTACCAAGAGATCAGACAGTTTTTGGTCATCATTTATTTATGGTGCTAGACATTAAAAAATATATCATTTATACAGGAATTTGAAGTCTCTCTGGAAAGTAATCAGTGTTTACCACAAGACTTTTTTTCCAGATCCAGACCCATGTAGACACATCCCAAATTAAAAAAATAAAGCATGCTAAAATGTTGAAAACAATAATAAATGTAATTTTCAGCAATCTTTATGATCCATTATCCACAGCGTAATTGATTTGCTCTATGGCAGTATTTTAGAGCGCAGACCAACGTCTACACAAGTCTTAAACAAGAGTCCCTAACAGGGACTCGTGTTGCTTCATTTGCCTCGGAACTCATTTGTCAGCCTGCTTTCTTTCTCAGGGGATACGTTGATGAATTTATCGCTTTCATTTTCACTATTGATACATGAAAAACTTTCTTCTTTACAGAGAATAACTGGTAGCAATTAGATTTAAATACACTCCATGACAAATCTTAAAACCAATATGCAAAAATCAACCATCCATGCTCTTGATTAACAAATTGTGACCACATAAATACAGTCATCTGCAATGATGAAAGTTAATTGACTGAAAAACAACCAGATGATAAGGTACCAGACAGGCCCGTTTCTTAGAAAAAGGATATTCAAAAAGACAATCTGTCAGCAACATACAATTAAATATTATTTCACAGTGACTTTGTGTAGTCAGTCTTTTCAGAAAACACTTATGAGGGTATTAAGATATCTTACGGTGCTGATTAATACAGTAAGACCAAAGCATCTATCCTTGTACTCATCACTTCCATACTCGTGACTTTTCTTACACCGCTCTTCCAGTCTTCATTAAGTTCTCTATCATATCTTTCTCAATAGCCCAGCTGTAGTTATAAAAAACGTACAATGTGTGTGTGTTTCTAATTGGCTGGTGTTGTAACTTGTTTGCCCTGTTTGACCTGCATTGTGCTGTAAGCATTCTAAATTAATTAACATGGCTTTGAAATTGATCTCAAAGTGTAAGTCTAAGCATTTGCTCATGAACGCTGTCGGCCACAATTGTTAGCATGTCTTGTCATTTATTACCAAATTAAATCATAACAGACATATTTGAGAGAAAAAGGACCATGTTGTGTTACTGGCCTGCATATTCCTCCGTGGATTCTTGGCAGGATGATAGAAAATTGTGGGGGGAAAAAAGAAATTAGCAAAAAAAGATGGTTCTCTTGGTGTTATGGTATGCATGCCAATAGTGTTTTCCAGGGCTGAAAAGAGCAAGGCAACCTTTCCTTAAATCAAGGACATTTCTTTATTGTGCAGACCATGCAAATCAGAGTGTTTGGGCCTCACTGGTGGCAGACAGGCAGGCAGGGAGGGAGGGATCAGAGAGGCTCTTGTCGGTGCAATTGTGTGACTCTCAGTGAAAGTGACACCTCATCAATTCTGTGCATATTTTTGGCACCAGCTCAGCATGCTTAATGCACTAATTTCCCACATTTTATGTTTAAGGAATATGAGCAGTTTGGTAGCTTGGCTTCTAATGTTCATTTGAGCCATTATTGTGCAACGTACCCCACAGTTATTTTTCTTTCATAGCGCTCTTTAGGCTGGAAAGTTTGGCCTCTTGTGGGAAAACTACAGCTATAGTGGGTTATAGCTATAGTCCACTATAGCTGTAGTTTAACATGGATGGATAACTTGGATGTGTATGTCATTTTTAAGCAAAAAACCTTCTTGTTCCTTGACTTTTAGGGTTCTTGTTTTATGCTATAATTACATGGATAAGTTTAGATTGTTGAAAATGAACAAAACAAGATATTTAAATTCATTTAAATTCACTAATAAATAAACATCCTAGTTTTGGGATTTTAGTCTGTTGTTAGGTGTTTATGAGTATATATTATAATTATAATATAATATATATAATGCTTAAATAAAGTTTTGTGGTATAATTTAAATGTTATTATTGTGAAACTATGGGTGTTCCCATGATATGGGATATGATATAATGCTGTAGGTGCTTTAGGTGTAAATGCTACAAATAGGTCATTTTGACCCATTGATGTTCGGTTCTTTGACAACATGGTGATGTTATAATATCTGATATAGATAAGAACCCGCAGGGAACTTAGCTGCACCTGTGTGCCAATTTCAGTTGTTCAGCTCCTGATTGTTTCGAGTTTGCAAACAAACGATTAGAGATTTTTATGTAAGCTAATAAAATGTGTGCAAAGATTCATCTGTTTCCAGATTTTTAGGGTTTTTGTTGTTTTATCATAGAATTACATGGACAACTTTGGATTGTTTTGTCCACTGTCTAAATAATGAGATTAAAGAAATGTGGATTTTTTGTTCTGCTTTTATAACAACACAGAACATTAATTTGATATAAATCATGTAATTTGCTATTAAATCACATCAGCTGTAATTTGCATAACATAATTTATTTAGCATTTTGCAGTACATTAATCGTGTCTCTTATTTATGCACATCCAAACATCTGGTGAACCTCTGATTTTGATTTATTTCCATTCCTAACATGTCTTAATAACTACTTATAAGTTGCACCTAACATAAAAAGGAATTTTTATAAAGAAATTGGTTGCTTATCCTTCTTGCAGCCCACATCTCATTAGAGTCATATGTTTTGCTGTTGTTTAAGTCTAGGATTGTTCTGTTTCACTCTGTTTCAGAAGCTCACTTCACACATCTCTTTTTTTTTTTTTTGTGAAAGTGAATGAGGATACAACTTGCTGGTTGAAAACTTTAATCTGAAAAGAGAATGAGTCGGGGCTGTGGTGTTGCCAGTGAGGTGAAGTGAAGCTAATGTAGAACTATTCATTTCTATCATTCTCATGATTCCCTTGTGTATTTTCATGAGAAGAAGGTGTGCAGGAATTCATTTCAAGCATTTACTGGAAAATTAGATAAACCAATCGAATCAAAATTCAAGGCAGAGGATGGAAGTTTAGAAGGTTGAATGGTACCCTTGTCAGTAAATCAAGAGTAGCGTGCAAGGTACAGATATGCTATCAGCCTTTAAATTATCAATGGGAAAGAAGTACCTGGCTGCTCAAGAGAAAAACATGTTTTTACTGAAAGAAATGGAAAAGGAGGTTGTGATTGAAGTAACACTTTCTTGTGTTGCAATAATCAGTGACATTTCTGTGATTTCTCATCTGTCAAAAATGATTCAAGATCTTAGCACACTTTATAGTGAGCAAGTTGCAAAAGAAAACAGAAAGACTCCCAATGAGTCTATACTTACTTTATTTGAGCAACTGCTTTTTGAGGCTCTCGGGTTAGACAGAGGAGCGAATCTTCATAGAATTCATCTCAGGTCTACAGTCAGCTGCTATTGTCTGGTTTGCTGCTCTGGCACAATGACCCCTATTTTGCTAGACATTTCTGTTGAGATTAGAATCTTTTTAAAGAAGGACATCTTCCACAGGAAGGGCTTTAGGCTTATATCCTTTTCAAGATCAAACAGAGTGAGCCTGATGTTTGGTTATGCCGGCATGGAGGTTTCAGTACTTGAGTTGTGTTGGAGAATTGCTATTTTACCAGGGCTATTTCCCAGATGGACTTTTTGGGGTTTTTTTAGGTTCACTTTAGACTTCTGAATCAGGCTGTATATCATTATAGGATTCAAAGCAAGTGTCCATTGGGGAGCTACCAGTAAAAGAAAGGAGCTGATTTTATTTAGGATTGACTTTTCTGCTATACTGTTGGACTTTTTGGTCTAAATGGCAACATTTATGATGTGCTATTGGAGTCTTAAAGACAAGAGTGAGTAATATTTTCTACACCAAAACACGTTGGATTAGATCTCTCAGTGTTAGCCTCCTTGGAGAGATTCTGACTTTTAATAAGTAGTTCAAGTGTGACATTATGAAGCATTGATAAACAGAATAAATTTGACAATTGTAGAGAGAGTGGCTATATTCCTTGTCACTCCACGTTGAAAAGACGAGGCAGAGGAGTACGGCATGAAGACTTGGTTGAGGGAGGACACTGGGCCTAAGCTGGTGTGACACCCTTAGCCTTTAATGAACGGCACAACGCTCTGAGTACTATGAGCTTCCTTTCAGCTTAGAGGGGACTGCTTCTGAACTGGTGCTGAACCAAAACAGACAAGAGAGCATCAGCTCAGGCCTCCACCGGCCTGCTACACATTTAATGCCCCTGTCGTCAGGAATAATCCTCTCTGCCTCACGC